AAGTTTGTTTTCTATGTCTGTGACTCTGTTTTGTAAACAGGTTTGTCTTTTGGTTTTTTTTTTTATATTCCACATATAAGTGATATCATATGGTTTTTTCTTTCTTTTTCTGGCTTACTTCACTTCGTATGACAATCTCCAGGTCCATCCATGTTGCTGCAAATGGCATTAGTTTGTTCTTTTTTATGGCTGAGTAGTATTCCATTGTATGACTATACCACAGCTTCTTTATCCAGTCATCTGTCAATGGACATTTAGATTCTTTCTATGTTCTAATATTCTTTAATAAATATCAATATTCTTACCATTTTAAAGTATAAACTTACAACATGATAAAAAGAGAAACAAGCAGTGTTGCTCTCAAACTGTGGAATACAATATTTTGGAAATTTTTAGAGCAAAGTAAACAATCTATACAGAATCTTTTCTTAAGAAAAATCTTTGTCTAATCCCTCAATCACTATATTTTCAGTAAGAAAATTGTCATTCTTCAAGAATGCAAAGTTAGTCCTTCATTCAAGTAACTTATAATCAATCACTCCTGGAATGGAACTGAAGGAAGTCTGTTTTTCCAGCCAGCCTGCTTTCCCTGAATGCCCACTGCAGCACAATCCCTGCACCAACTATTCTATGGAAGCATCTGAACCAAAGCCATCGTGGCCAGAAGCACCATGCACCTCAAAGGAAAGTGCTGATTTAGAAGCTTGCAACTGGCTCTTTCACACTCGTAGTCAACACATTCCTTTCATTCTGCTCTATTCACTCTTGAGTTATTTGTGTATATGCCATCTCCCTGGCTACACAATACACTTTTAGCATCTTTGAAGGCAGCGTCTATATTTTGTTTGTCTTTACACACATACTCACACGTAGTTTCCATTTAGTAAATGCAATTCAATTTTTTTTTAATTGTTAAGCTAACTTGACAAAGCCAAGTATCCTGAGTCACCGCAGGGGAAACTGGAAGAAAGAATAAAATTTAAATATTGGCTAATGTGTATTGAGTGCTTCTTGAGGCCCACTGCGTTACAAATAATAATAACATTTATTGGGTTTTAGGTACTCTTCCAAGCTCTTTATGCCAACTAACTAATTCACTCCTTAAAATAAACTTATGAGGTAGGAGCTATTATTGTCCTTATTTGACAGATGAGAAAACCAAAGCACAGATTCCAACTCTGGCCAAAAGACTGCAGATTTCACGCTCTTAATCAGTACTCTGAGCTGGGTTGCCATGAGCATGTCCCCATATTTGTCTCCTTTGCATGTTTAAGCTTTATATATATGGTCTTGTGGGAGAATAATGATTTGCTACATTCTATCTGTTAGAGACAGGTCATCGTCTCCTAGCTGGGAATCTTAAAAAAAAAAATTAGGCACTTAATATTCCTACTGCTGGGAATTAATTCTAAGAAGCAAGTCGAAGGGATGAAGAAAGTATTCCTTTCAAGCTATTTCTAGTTGTATTGTTTCTGTATCTAAAGGAAAGAAGCAAATCACACAACCCACAGGGAACAAAAATGTCTAATTGTTCGAGAATAATCAAATCATCTGGTGTATGAATTCAGTGTGCTAAAAGGTCTTCACCAAGAATCCAGAAGAAGTGGGAAAATACAGGAAGTGTAAACAGAGGAATGTGAAAATATGCAAAGCAAAGGAGGCTAAAGCCTCTGCCCACCACAATCACAGCAACATGAAACGTCTTTATAACCAGACCAAAGCAAGACCATAGGTGGTTATAAATATGTATTAAGACAAATGAGTATTTTTGCATGTTTTCTGTCAGCTTTTTATACATTTGTTTAATTGCCTAAACAAAAAAAATAGGAAGGAAAAAAAAGGAGGGAACGCCTCAACGGAGAGCCTTTTTCTAAACAAAAGCCAAAACTTACCTCAGGCTCATTGAGAATCAGAAGGAGGCTAAATTAGCAGAGTGATCTTTAAGCATTTATTTCCCTCAGAGCTTGGAAGCATCACCTATCATTTGGGGACCAGAGAGGCAGGGCTGCTGGAGTCTCCTGAAATTTCTCCTCTCTGAGGAATGCCAGAGCCTGACATTAGCTGCATCGTGTCCTTCCTGCACAAGAATCGCCATCGAGTTCATTTACTGAACATTTATTTACTGAGTACCTACTCTGTGTTGCTAACACTGATGTAGGGAGTGGAGACAGCAGCG